GGCATCCACACACAAGTAGTCGCACAAAACGACTTTGTCAATGTCAAAAATGAAAGAAATAAAAATTACTTCAGACAAATAAAAACGAAAGCATTCATGCATATAAGGAGACTAGCATTCATGCATATAAGGAGACTAGCTCCATGTTCGTGATTGAAAACAGGATCACCAAGACCGAGTCTCAATAATGCCCTCAAGAAAACGGAGTAAGTCGTCAATCAAGCGACTCAGCAGAATAAAAGCTTCTGAAAATCAAGAGCTCCAGCTACCATCCTTCTACTCAGAAAAGAAGGCACAAGAAAGTAATAAGTCTCCAAACATTGCTCTCCCTCAAGAAAGAAGAGCGAGTTGTCATAAGAAGCTTCCACAAGCCAAAGCTCCAGTCATCACCCAATAAAAGAGGGCGCAATCATCAGATATCATAAAAGCTGACAGAAAGGCTTAGTTATCCCCAAGAGGATCCTTGCCTACTCCAGAGGCAACACAAAAATACTCCTCACGGCTCAACATCACCACCACATGAGTCATCGAGCACACTCACCCAAAGTCTCCTCCACACTCCCCAATGGAGAATAAAGGCTTCAAGAGCCCATCATCATCAATAGTCAAAAGAGTCCAAACCATCAAGGGCTAAACAAAAAAGGAGAGAAAAGAAGAGAAAAGAAAACCCTTCATCTCAAACAAATTGGCCATGACAGAGAAGGCCAAATAAAAATCCCTAAGTGGATCTCCCCAGCAAATCCTACAAAAAGGAGGAATCAGAAATTCCCATCCCCCACTAGAATAAGAGCTTCACAAGTATAACTCGCAATCAAGGAGCCAAGACTCCATTCCTAGAAAAGAAAAATCAGATCCCCAGGAAGTCAACTAATTCCCTGGTGGACCACTAAAGAAAGCAAATTTCATCCCTAGTGGACCCCCAAAAAGAAGGAAAAAGCCAGCGCAATAAAAAGAGACTAAAAAGTAAAAAGGCTTACGCATTATCCTGAAAAAGCCAAATTTCAAATCGCGATAAAAAAAAGGAAAATCGCGGAAAAAGGCGAAATCAAATAAAAATCCTTACTCCCTAAGTGGATCACCTCAGAAAAAGGAAAAATCAACCAAAAAAGAAGGAATCGGAAATTCCATTCCTCCAACAAAAACAAGAGTATCGGCAAAGCCATCTCATACCAACAACATCCAACAAGGAGTCAAAACTCCATTCCCTCAGGGGGGGAAAGTCAAAATTAGATCCCCAGGTAGGCAACCAATTCCCCGGTGGATCAACCAAAAAGAAAGATCATCCCCAGTAAGCCTACTGCAAAGGTAAAACTTCATATTCATCAGAATGTCATTTGCCTATGCATAGGCAGAACCTGGCAAACAAGAGCCAGCATCCCCATAAGGGAATATCAGCCTAGTCAGAGGCAAAACAAAATTCAGCCAAAAGTCTTCACTTCCGATGAAGCATCTGCCTACTCAGAGGCACTACCAGAAACTCAATGGATATCTGCCTACTCAAGAGGCATCACCAAGATCAATAAATCCCCAGAGGATTCCTGCCTCCCCAAGAGGCTCTCATAAAAATCCCCGACAACCAGCAAAGTCGGATGACAAATACCAAGAGATAAAAAACAAAGAATCCCCAGCAATCAACAAACTGGATGAACGCCAACAAAATCCCCGGCACAGACCGGACGACCAAATCTCAGAGAAGACAAACAAAAACAAAGAAAGTACATCTCAAATCCCGGCGCATGATCAGAATCAGTAAGCCGCCACCATCGCCAAAGGATCAGCCACCGCAAGAAGGGGCATCCAGAGGCGCATAACCAGACAGGGGTTCATACTCGTCAGCCAAGGGGTCAGCTACCGCGTCAAAGGAGCATCCCGAGGTTTCACATCGGCGCATGAGCCACCCGAGCAGTAAGCCGCCACCACCACTAGTCCTACGCAGTAGACTGTACCAGCCAGATAGGGGGTTTATACCTATCAATCTGCAGACACAGTGCACCTGAACGGCGCATGAGCCACCTGAGCAGTAAGCCGCCTCCACCACCAGTCCTACGCAGTGGACTGTACCAGCCTGATAGGGGGTTCATACCTATCAACCTGCGCACGCGTTGCGCCTGATCTGCGCTCAAGCCGGATCAGTAAGTCGCACTACCACCCTGATGGGGGGTTCATACCCATCCGGTCCCACACAACGGACCGTACCAGCCTGATGGGGGGTTCATACCCATCCAGTCCCACACAATGGACTGCAACTACCAGCCTGATGGGGGGTTCATACCCATCAACCGAAGGATCGGCTACCGTCAAAAGGAGTATCCTGAGGTTTTACCACGTGTCCACCGAAGGGATTGGCTACCGTCAGAAGGAGTATCCCGGAAGTGCACGAATACACAATTTTCCCCAGAAGATCACCCGCCACATAGACGGAACATCTGAAGGGAAACCGGGCAAGAGGGTCAACTCCTTTACCTTCCTGTCAATCTGTCTGGCACAACAGACCAACAGTTGACTAGTCAGGTAAAGGGGGGTAGCTGTAGACCCCAAATCTTGCCCGGCCTCCAAATAAAGACTAGGAGACCTCCTATTTGAAGATGGACAAAGCCTAACAAGCCATTAGGAGAGACTATTAGGCCCCATACTAGGATAGGAGGGAGTTTTTGTGCAAAAAAATAAGTTTTCTCGCCTTGTTGGGACGAGACCGCCGTCTGGATTTCCCAGACCGCCGTCTCGCCTCATGCAAGTGGCGAGACCGCCGTCTGGCTTGACGAGACGGCGGTCTCGCCACCTACGAAGGGCGAGACGACGGTCTCGCTTCCCCAGACGGTGGTCTCACCGCGTTTGACAGGGCGAGACGGCGGTCTCGACCCTGTCAGATAAGACCGGCGGTCTCGCCACCTGACAGCGCGAAAACCTATAAATAGGGGTCCTCCCCCCCTCATTTCCACACACCTCAAGCATTAGCTCTGCCTTCTCTCTAAAAACTTCTCTCTAGAATCCCTCTGACGCATTTCCGGAGTTTCTGAGTGTCCTTGAGAGCATTTCCCGGCGTCTAGAAGAGTTTCCGACGTCTTGTAGAGTGAAGGGCTGCCAAAAAGCACCCTCTTTTTAAAGAGAAATATAAAACAAAGCTTGCTTCGGAGGTTTAATTTCTCCCTCTCTACTTTTAACGCTTTAATTTTAATTATGCATTAGATTAGGGCCATGTAGTCATCACTTTAAAATTCCGCATAATAAAAAAGGGCAAAAGTATATTTTCCGGTTTATTTATTAACAATAAAAGCTGGCCTATCACAGGGAACCCGAAAGGGGCGTAGTAAAGGAACTAATACTTCCTTTACCACGTAACTAACTCCCTTACCCAACTCTGGTTCTAATGACCAAAGTTGGTTTTCAAAAACCAATGCCTTTTAAAAACCTTTTCCGATGTTTCCGGTAAAAACATCGGTGGCGACTCCATAGAACCCAAAATAAATAAGTCCTTGGGTTAGCCCGGTGTCGCCGCCGTCCATTCCGACGTCCTGGGACATCTCGAACGTTAATGCGAGCGGTCGCGAAAAGATGGTTGAGACTCGCGTTTTTTGTTAAAAATATGTTCATTGCTTCCGAGGTGCTCAACGCTGAACTATCCTCTAATAGAAGCAAGGTTTTCGAAAAGGGTTCTTTTGGAGTCGCCACCAATGTTTTGACCATAAACATTGGAAAAGGAGAAAAAGGCATTGATTTTAGTAAAAACCAAACTTGGCCATTATAACCAGAGTCGGGTAAGGGAGTTAGTTACGTGTGAGGAAGGTATTAGCACCCCACAACGCCCCTTTCGGGTTCCCTATGACGGATTAATTCATTTAAGTGAAGATTACGAGAGATTACGCTATTACCCTATTTTATTCATACAGTATTTAAATATGGCTATCTACATGATTTTATCTACATTGCATACAGAAAACAGTGAATAAAGCAATAAAAAGGAAGAGGATTGAGAAGAACCTCCGAAGCAAGCTTTATATTATAAGTCTTTTATACAGAGGACGCTTTGCGGCAATCCTTCGCTCTACAATGACTCTCCTCTCGATTACAATATCGAATCGACTAAATTTTCTAGAAGAATCGAATGCCGGAATACAAATTCCTTAACTGATTGTTACCTATTAAAGGCAATCAGAGAGATCATTCGAAGGAGGGAGAGAAGAAGACAAGTCTTGGAGTTGTCTGGGGTGTGGAGAATGACAAATGAGGCTCCTATTTATAGATTTCGCTGCCTGGAAACTTGGGACGGTCGTCTGGGTTGGGACGGCCGTCCCAAATGCACATTTTGCACTGGGTCAATCTGGGACGGCCTGTTGTTTTTAGGACGGTCGTCCCAACTGAATTATGGGACTTGGGACGTGCGTCCCAAAGGTGAGACG